GGCACTTTGTGTTCTGTGCAGACCTTGCTGCCTGGCGAGGTAAATCTGGCTTGGAGAGATAGGAGATACCCGAACTTTTCTTTGGTCAACCACTCTCTTGGTTCTTTTGCGGTGTGCTCGGCCCTCCAACCCTGGTTTGCCTACAGCCTCCTATGATATAGACATTGGCGCCATCCCATTTAATATGGGACACCTTTAGTTTTTTGCTTTGATACTTTGTATTGTTTTGCTTCGGCTTTAGACACTCTGCACTCGGACGCAGGAAGACGTCCCTCAGAGAATGCACATGACGATTTCTCTACTTCCATTGTCGATTAGAGGAGATATATCCGATAGGAACGTTACAGTTTAACTTTCACATCCCTGCATGAAAGAGAGGGTGATGCGGGTGGTGTTATGAGCAAGGATGTGAAGCTACATGTGCAGGGGTAGAATGGTTACATGAGAATAATATATATATATATCGCTTTGGTGTTTTACTGTTTATTGATACATGCTCCTGCTGGTTTGCTGGGGTCTACTGTGCTCCATGGTATAGGGTTGCAGATTCAGGATTGCGCGCGTTAGGATGGTGAGGCAGCTTTTCGTTTTTAGGCAAATGTGTCTTTAAGTGTCTGTGAGCGCATGGGAGGTGCTGTTGTTTTATACGAGTGCTGCTTTATTGGGGTCATTGGTTTTTTCTTCCATTTTAAATTTTTATTTTGTAAAATGTTTTTTTTTCTAGCTATGTGCATCAATATGGTTTTTTGTTTTGCTTTTATACAGTGACTTTTGGTTAGATGTCTCTTTTTATTTGTATTTTTCTTGCTTGTTTTTTTTTAATGTTCTTATGTTTCTGTGTAAGTATGGCGACGTCTGTGGTGGTGTGTGATGTCTGCATTGTGCCGAAATATGTCTTTTTTGTTTATAGCGAGTTGTGTTGCCATATCTCTTAATTTATTATTATTATTATTTTGTGGTTTGTCAGTAATTTTTGTTCCATCCTTGTCAGGTGAAGGTGTTTGCAATCTAAAGATGGGACGAGGTTTTGGGAGGGGGGCGAGGGTTGCAATTGTGACTCATGCTCAAGTGAAAACAGCGGGCAAAAAAACGCCACGAGGTCTTCGTGGATCACGACAGAAGAAACGCCGACGTTTCCAGCAGAGACACGATGAACAAGCGAAATTAGAGGAATCTCTTGGAATGAGGCAAACAAACGCCCCAAAAAGCGAGAAGCCTTTGTCGCAGCAGGTGGCAGGTATCCAGTTCTCTCATGTTGTGAATAAACGACAGAAGGGTTTCAAGCAGCTGCGACGACAAATTGTGGATAGCGTAAGGGATCTAAGAAGGCGACACGCAGAGAAGAAACGAAAACAAGCAAAGAAGAGCACCAACTCATCTACAAATTAACTCTGCTAAAATGCATTTTAGCAACATTTTGATCATAGATGTTGTATGCTGCAAATGGGGAGGTTTCCCCTGTGATTGCAATGGATAAATGCAAAATAAAAGAACAAGTTGAACTTCTTCACCTGTTTTTTTTTGTTACATTTGAAGATAAAGGGATAAGAAACTAAATACTAACTCTAAAACAAACAAACACATACAAATAAACAGCAACACCATGTCCCAGGGTGTTGAACATAGCAAGCAGGAAGCTGACTTGAAGGCAGATAAACGAGAAAAACTAAGGAGAGGACTTGAGGCCCTCTTTGCCGCACAAAACACTGGTGCACATAAGGACTCTGATGAGGATAGCGCTGATGAGGGCCACCCAGCAGTCGACAATAAGCGACGAGAGTCTCAGACGGCCACAGATACATTTTTTAACATTGACACAAACAGCACTATTATTGAGGTTAATAACGTTCGATTGTTTTCGTTGGATGAGTTGGAGTTGGACAAGTTGACTAATTGTGTTTCTCTTTCTCTTCGGAAGAATCTTATTCACGAACTGACTCCGTTCCCAGAAGAACTTGCGGGCCGCCTTCAGGATTTAGATTTTTTTGACAACAAGATCCGCAAGCTGCGAGATTTTTTTTCATCTGTAAAATCTATGGGAGATGCCCCTCTGAAAAAAAGTGTGTTGGGGGCCTTTGGGCATCTTACCAAGTTAGATTTGAGCTACAATCAAATACGGCATATTTCAGGGTTAGAACCCTTGGCGCCAACATTGAAGGAACTGTATCTTGTGGAAAACAAAATAAATGAAATTAAAAATTTGGATTTACTTACAAACCTTGAGCTACTCGAGCTAGGGGGCAATCGAATTCGTGAAATTGGACCAGGTTTGGCGAACCTGACAAAGTTGAAGCAGCTTTGGCTAGGTAAGAATAAAATTACATCTATTGGAACATCACTTCAAACCTTGGTCTCCCTGGAAATTCTTAGTCTGCAGGCGAATCGTTTGACCAGTATTGAGCCTGAGAATTTTTCCAGCCCTGACGCTAACCCATGCCTTATGGAGGTGTACCTGTCCGAAAACGGCCTGACGTCGATTCAAAATCTGCAGTACCTTTCCATGGTAAAGATTATTGATTTTAGCTTTAATCCAATTTCCGTTATAAATGCGGACGTGATAAATCCCAAAAATATGCCATTTCTTGTAGAATTTTGGCTCACCGATGGAAAGGTTGAAAATTGGGATGAAGTAGGGAAACTGAGCGGATTCAAGAACAGCTTGAAGACCGTTTACCTTGAGCGAAATCCAATTGAGGAGGATAAAAGATACCGTGATAAGGTGTACATGTATTTACCTTTTTTGGAGCAGATTGATTCGTGGCCAATCGTAAATAAAGGTAATCTTGAGGCAGATCGAAAGCGGAGGGCCTAGGGGATCGTCTCACCGCAAACTCTTTTGTTTCTCTTTCTCTTTTTCTTTCTGTGACTTTTTTTTCATTATGCTTATGTTTCTTATATCCCTTTTTTTGTCTTGGGGTTTGACTCGTGCTGTTGTATTGTCCTAGTTGAAGATAACCGCAGACGACCAGTTTTTTTTTTTTTTGCTTTAATCTGGGAAAGCATCTTGACTGCAGGGAATGGGGGTATCTTTTCCTATGCATTGCCGTCTCTCTGTATGTATGTGTGCGTCCGTGTACATTTGACGCCGTGGTTGAATGTGCGCCTTCTTTTTTTTCTTGGTCTGCGTACTGTCTTTGACGCTGTGACGGATTAGTATACGAAAAAAGAAAAATAATAATAATAAGAGGGGTGCTACGAAGGGAAAAGCAAGAAGAACAACATCAGAAACACAAAAACAGTCAATCAAACAATGCAGCAAGTCCCTCCTGAGCTTAAAGCTATGAATGACCAGCTGCAGGTTATTTTCAAGGGTAATCAGGAGCTGGGTGCCAAAAAAAGTAAGCTAATAGAGGCTCGCCGACGGCTTGGTGCACAGAAGAGCGAGAATGAGATAGTGAAGGATGAAATAAATAAGCTAGAGCCAGAATCCCGGGTATATAAACTTATTGGTCCTGCTCTTATTCAACAAGATCAGAACGATGCCAAGGCGATTGTCAATAACAGGCTTGAATACATTAATGGTGAGCTAAAAAGGACTGATGTTTCTATTGCCGAATTAGAGCGGAAGGAGAAGGAGACTCAGCAAAAGGCCGATGAGTTGTTCCGCAAAATGCAGGCAAAACAGGCACAAATTCAGCAGCGACAACAACAACAACAGTAGCACGGAAAAACCTTTTTGTTTTAATGGTAAGATACCTGAGGGTATTTACCTCCTTTTATTATTATTATTCTTTTAAAAGGAATATTATGGTGGTGAACCCTTTTGTTTTGCGTTACATACACCAATTTTGTATCTTTTGCGCGTTTTTTTTCCTTTGCGGTGGAGAGAAGACACATGCACTTTTCATTACATCTTGTAACATTTATCTGTCTTCGTATCTATCTATGCATGTGTGTTTTGTATTCCTTTATTTTGAGTGTAGTGAGCTTGATGGAGGGCCAGAAACAGGAGTGGAGTAGCACCCATGCCCAGTTATGGACCTCTTTCAAGAGGTCACAAAGGAGGAGTGACTCGGTTGAACCCAATTCTAATGTTAGTATAGAAACAGTGACACCTGTGAGCTCCGTCTTTGAGCAACACCCTATGACCGGGGATGGTGTGGCTTCAGCTATACTGCATGAGGTCACGAACCGAACACGTCGTGATGAACCAGTTTTTTCGGAGAAGCTAGGGGATCGTATTATTGGGCTTATCGAAGATGGCAGGACAGACACCCTCGTTCGTGAGTTATTAACCGCCATTATTCATTTAAAGAATCGCGTTGAGAAGGTGAATAATGAGGCTATTTATAGACAGGATTCACTTATGCAAGTGGCTAACGAAGCACTGTTGCATTTGAGTGGTCAGAAACACGTTGATATTACACCTGAAGAAATGGTTACTGAAGGCACTGAGGCCCTTGGCGTTATAGAGAGTCGTTTTTTTGCAGTTCTTATACAGGTAGAAAAATGTAAAAAGACAATAAGGGAAATTGTGGAGAACAATGGCTTGGATAATACATTATCTAGTGGAGCTTCAATGCGAGAGATGCTAGATGCGTTATCTTCCTCTAAAAGCCTTGCATCAAAGTTTGAGGGCGTTGATAACAAAGGCAACGCAACACTTTATCAGCTAATGAACATACTTGGGCTTCCATCGGGCACTACTTTGGATCAGGCGCCAAATTTAACATTAAAGCTAATGAAGGAGTTGGAAGCTCTCAGATTAGAGAATCACACAAATTCTATGCTCCTGCTTCAGTATGAACGGGCAGTGATGGCTAAATTTGCTTCATGCGGTGTCATTTCTCCTCCTACAGTGGAACAAGAGAGAACAACTTTGACTTCTAGGGGCGATTCCTTCTTTACACACGCTGACGACCAATGGATTATGGATCACCTGAAAAATTTGGTTTTGGTTCTGATGGAAGTGAATAAAAATCTTCACCTAAACGTGATTCCCAATTGGCTTTTGGGAAAACCTACAGAAGCCTCAGCGGAAGCCATTTTAAAATACATGCGTACTGCTATAGATGGCGCCAGAGAAATGTTACTTATTTTAACAGGAGATATACTGGAAGCGAGGCAGTCCCTTCTCAAAATGACACAAGCTTTGAGTAGTGATAGACGTAGTAGTAATGATCCAAACTGGACAGCTATGAAGGAGAAGTCTTTTCTGCAGATTCTGCATGGGTTGGAGTGCATTGTTGCGGCTCAAGCTGAAAGAGAAGATGTGGCAAAAGCTTTTTTGGAGACGTCCCATGAGGAGACATTGAAGGCGATGATGAGAATTGCGCGCTGGTTGCCGGAAAAGGAACAAATACAAACCATGGAAACACTGAATGATGTGGACCGTTTAACGGATTACATGGAGGATGCGGTGAGGTCGCTGGTCGTGGCATCCACTGCTCAGGACCCAATGCTTTTGCGGGTGGAAAAATTAGCCTCCCAGATTGCACGTTTAACGGATCCAGTAGATGGAGCGGCGGGGCCCAATATCCTCGATCAAGCTGCCGCCGCGTCACTTGTGGACGCAGCAGAGGAACTGCGAAGGTGGGCAGCGGAAAAATCTGGGGCAAGTAGAAGAACAGAAGATGCCATCATTCAAGAAAGCCTACATGAGCTTGCGCAACTCCTGCCGACTGGTTTACCTCCTACTTGTTCGGTGGGAGACGTTCGAATTGATCCTCCGGTGCACAATATTCTTGATATGGTACACTTGCTGAAGCGAAGACTTGAACAGTGGATTCAGGAACAGCAAAAACAGCAGCTTTCCGGGGCACACAGTCGTTTAGAAAAAACCCGAGTGGGGGAGGTTGTACGGGAGCGCAGCAATCAACTTGTGAGGATTACGAAGGAGATACTACTGAGTTCGGGAACCTCAAGTGACGTGGAAGGGATACTCGGCGCAATTTCAGCAGACGCCTTGGAGGGCCCCGGGGCAGCGTCTAACGGTGGCGCTAGCGGCGGTGGGGCGGGAGGCGCAATTTCCTCCGTGGTCGCCATGTTTGATGACCTTGAGGAGCGCTTGAAACTCGTCAAGCTCCGCCATCATCGCCTGTCTCAGGCACACGCGGCCGATAGGGTTCGTCTGGACAACTTGATTCAGTCGAGCACCACGCACACGAGACGGTTTTCGCGTATTTGTTCCTCTGTAGGGTCCATTTGCCGTTTGGTGGGCCTCGAACACGTTGCCGTTCGGCTTGAGCAGGAGCCCAAGGCGGAAGCAGCGTCATTGTCGTCGTCTCAGTTCGTGCTCCGTCCTGGGCAGCGAAAGACACACATTGTCCAGCCTCTCAGTGACGCTGACATTCTTGAGACGTTAAACCTCATCGAGGAGCTTCTGAAAGACAACACGGCAATAACAGAAGCCGCACAACAGAAGTCCGAGTTACTTCGCTTGAAGCAGGCGGAGGAGCAGTGGCAGGAGGAAGCTGGCACATTCCGTCAGGCGATGAAAATGATTCTACTGCGACTGGCGGAAGCGGGAAGACGCGTTAAGTCTGCCCTCTTCATGTTGGGAACGGATGAATCGGCGGAGGATGAGGTGGTGGAAAGTGTCATACGTGAACAGCGGCGAAGCTCTGACGTCGAAGCGGGGGCAAACCATCTTGACGGCGCGCAAGGACAACAACAACAGCAGCAACAACAGCGCGAACTGCGACAGCAAGAGGCCAGCGAGGAGTCACTGGCGTTGTTGTTGCAGAAGTTTGGTCGCTGGGCAACACGCCTGCAGGAGGCAATGGAGGACCACCTGTACACGCAGCAAAAGTTGAGTAATTATTTTGCCGATGTGCACTGCTTTTTCTGCTCAACCACGCACGCCGCGGTGGTACAAAACGCGACTGATGAGAATCTTATAGATATTGACACTACGCTGATGCAGTTTGCTGATGGCATTTTACCAGTGCTTGATCGCGTCATTGCTGACGCAAAGTCCACCTCAGGCAACACCAACACTGCTGAAAAAGGAGGAGGCGGAGGAGGGGGGGAAGATGGAGTGCGTGCCAAGGCTTTGACCACGCTGCTGCGGGACGCTCCAATAAACTGCGTGTCACCGACGAATCACCGCCTGATGCGTCTCTACGAGTCTGTGGGGAAGCTCCGCACCATAGTGGATGGTCTGTTGAGTGTGCGATACTTGTCGATTCCGTCGGCACGCCACCGACGCAGCGGTGGTGGCGCGGATGAACTGAAGTTTGATGATGCGTGGGGTGACACCTACGTGGAGCTGGATGTCGGAAAACTTAAGGGCACCGCCACGACGGAGGCAGGGAGTAGGGACGCGCCGACGGTAAGCGACGATGCGCTCTTCCGCACGGTGGAGGCGAACATTCGAAGCGTCCATCAGGCGCTTGGCAAGTTTAGCACCAACTATAAGCTCGCCGTCATCTTGGTGCAGAGGGACACCGATATGATGCAGCAGTTTATCGCCGCCATGCTGGAGCCGTACTCGGAGCTTGACGTGGACCGCGTTTTTAAGCAGGACCCCGTGGTACTGAAGGAGATGTGTACGCTGCTCACCGAGCGCACCACGCGCCAGCGTGGCTGCTACTTCTTTAACCGTGTTGGAGGTGAAGGCCCCTGCTTGTGGGCGACGGCGTTGGAGCAGTTGAGCCTGGGTTTTGTTGGGATTCTCGAGAAGCTGCGAAAGCGCACGCAACTGGCGATGGAGCTGCGAGACATTGTCGACGATGTTGTTGATCTTTGTGCCACCTACGTAAACTGGTTGGAGGTGAGCGGGGAAGGGGAAGCCGTCGCCGCCCGGCACCCGCTGCCGCCAGAGGTGCTTGGGGCCTGCGTGCGTGAGACCGACGACGCGGACGCGGAGGAGACTCCGGAGCGCTCAGCGCAGCATCAGCAGCGAGGGAACATGAAAGTTGCAAAACCACCGCTGCCGCCAAACTCGCCTCAGCCAAAGGTGTCGCACTTCCTGGAGGACGTGACGACTCTGAAGGTCATTGCTCACATGTTTCAACTGGTCCAGGAAGTTGCCAATAGAGGGAAGCGGGAAGAGGGCAGCGGCGAGGACAACGAGAAGGCGGAGGCGGCAAGTAATGGTGCTGGCGCTGGGGGATGGGAGGGAGGAGCACGACGCGATGGCAACTTGCAGCAGCTGGAAGAACAGGTACAGCTGCTGCGGGAGGCGGCGGCGGTGGCGGAGCAGCGCGCCACCTTGACGCTGGAGGATTGCAAGCGCATGGAGCAGGAACGAGATAAGGCGCTCTCTGAGGCCGCCGTCTCGCGGGCGGAGCTTCGACGCTGGAGGCGGAGTTACGGCATCACCGAGGATGAGGCGCCACCACCGCCTTCGCAGCAGAAGCAGCAACCACAACAACAACAGCCCCAATCCCATCAGCCTCCGCTTGTTTATCCTGCAGCTTTCACAGGGGAGGATGTCTCCATGCTGGCACCAGAGCAGCGTGCGCCGCGTTTCTCGCTGGAGGCTGGTTCCAGCGCCTCCGCTCCTGGCTCCCCTGTGAGGGAGGCTCTGCTGTTTCAGCTGGCGCAGTCGGTGAAGGAGCTCACGGAGGAGCTGCGTGGAGCCTCGCGCCAGGGTAACATTCCGTCCCACCAAACCACCACAGTGGGAGCCGATGGTGCGAAGGCGGAGACTTCCCATGAGGGATTCCCTCAAGCGCCAAGGAAGCAGCCACACCGCAACACGCCACCGCGCAGCTCGGGACTTGTACGGTCACCAAAGGATGCCATCGGCGCCGCTCCAGCGAGCGGGAGTATATCCCCGCGATCCGCGCCCTCGTCGCTGTTGTTGCCAAGCAGACGCGACAACCTCTCGCCCCCGGACAGGGACACTTGGTCGCACACCATGCAGCATCATCAACAGCAGCGAGCCGCACGGCAGGAATCTGCATCTGCGCCACGCAACTCTGTTGTTGTGGCGCCGAAGGGCCCAACGTACTCCTCGTTGGCGCATACCCACTCAAGTGCGGCATCAGGCGACGCACGTGGGTTTTCGGTGCCCCGGTACCAGCCGAATCACCACCGTGGAGAATTCTTCAACGAGTGCGAGGTTTGCTGCCGTCATCACTGCTCTGACCACCCTGCAAGGAGCGCCGCGGGCAGGTTTGCCCTGGCCTCATCTCGTGCCCATTCGCACACCCGTCAACTTGCCACCCCCGTCTCTCGCAGGTCACGTGGAGCGACACCATCGCCGCGGCAGCTGCAACACAAAGCAGGGAAAGCGACCACGCACCGTAGCCAGCGCGACCACTCCTCCTCTGCGCGACGGCCCGCTCGGCTTTGGACATCGTCCGCGCGAAGCATTTCCTCACCGGATGCGGCGAAAGACGGTGACACACGGTTCGCCTCCGCGCTGCGGGGGGACCTAGCAGCTGCCTCTGCCGCCCATGGCGATGAGGATCCTCACCATGGATGTGATTGCCGTGGAAGACTAGGCCCAACGCGACGCTCGCGCTCTTTGCTGAGCCCAAGCACCTCCACCGTTTTGTCGCCAGAGAGCGCCTCGGATCCGGCCGAGACCAGGGATGATCAATATCAACGGCATCCACCCGGGAACGCCGCCCGCTCCTTGACGGAGATGCACGGAGGTGAGGCTTCCTCCCATGGGGCATCGTTAAAGACGGTGGGACACCACACAGCTCCGAGGACGTCGCCGCATCGTGCGCGGGAGAACAAGGCCACCTGGATCACCGCTCCCAGTGCAGAGCGGCCAACACGGCGGCCCAACTCTTCCGCTTCTAAGCCTGGGACGAGGACTCCCCACAGCGTCAACTTGCGCTCGGATGCTGTGAGAAAATTGGCGGATATTGTTGCCAGAACAAAGCTCTCCGGCAAGGAGGAGTTATAGACACGGGGGCCGCGCAGCAGGGGTGAGTGAGAGACAGCGGGGGATAAAAAAAAAAAGTGTATGTGTCTGTGTGTGGGGTGGGGGGGGGGGGGGGGAGGGTTGCTTCTTCCTCGTTGCTTTTTCAATCCATGTCGCCATCCCAGTGGGCCGTAGTAGGTCTCAAAATAGAGACGGTGGGAGGGACGGTACCTTGAAATGGCAAGGATGTGTTGTTTTTGTCGCTCCTTTGCCCTCTCCTGCGGTTGTTATGGGTGCCCGTGCCCCTCTTTTTTTTCCTTTTCTGTCTTTTTGCTTGTTGGGCAGTGCGCGTGAGCGAGAGAGAATGTGTGTGTGAAGGTTTGAGAGAGGGAGAAGTAGGAGAGGGGGGAGCGCCGTGATTTTTTCCCTGCCCCGCATGTGGAGGCGCATGTTCCTTGCCCAGCCTCATATCGCACGAGCAAGTGCTTCTCTCCCCCTCCTCCCTCCCCCCTTAACGTTCTATTCTCGCCATTTTTACTCATTTATTTGCTTTCTCTTTTATTTTTGTTTTGCTTTCTTTTTTCTTTTTCCTCCTCGCATTGCAATGGGAGGGAATAGAGATAGAATAGAACGGAATGCAACTGGGAAGTTAACAGCGGTTTGCTCCGCTCACCCGCCCACCAACCCAATTCCTTTCTGCTTTTTGCGTGTGGCTAGACACGCACGCAAAGGAGATGCTTCCTACCCGCCACGGTGCGTGTGGGGCGGGCGGGCGGCGCGGAGTTGTGCCTGCATTGGCTGCCCACGTGTGAAGGTTGCCACAGAGCACCAAACTAACAGAGGCGCGCTTGCACCGTCTACATCCCACTCATTTGGGCGCGTGGGAGGGGGGGGGGGGGGTTCGAGGCGGAGACGGTAGAGTGTGTGTTTTGTCTGCAAGTTTTCCACATGCTTGGGCGGCGGTGGGGGTTGCCGTCTCATTGCTTTGCCTGCCGTTGTGTCGGCGCCCGCGCTGCTGTGGTGCGCCAGACGGCACCGCCTGGCCAACGGGAGCATTCTCTCCAGCATTAAGGGCATCGCGGACGAGACAAACGACCTCACCTCTAAACTCGTCCACGCCAAGCGGCGGCAGGAGGATGCGGTGGCGTGGGCCATCAAGGGGAAGGAAATGCTGGCAGAGAAGGCGAAGCGACAACTGTCGGAGGGGACGTGGCAGCAGCAGGAGAAGGAAAAAATTGAAGCGTATTTGAAAGTTGCGACAAAGTCGGGCGACGCGGCGTCGGCGGCACGACAGCAGATTGCAAAGGTGAATTCCCCCTACATCCGCTCTGTGGACGCCTTTGGGGAGAAGAGTGTGAGGCTGCAGCACTCCCTCGCCGGCCTGGCCGACAGTCGCATCATAAAGTGGTGGGATAAGTTGTATTGGAACTACCTTCGCTACGGCTTTACGCAGGAGCGACTTATCGCGAAGGACCGCTTTGGGAATAAGCTTACTGTGACCTGGAAGTTTCAAAAGGGGCGCGAGGAGCAGCGGCGCATGTACCGCGAGGACGCCAACAAGAAGCACCTGACGTACGGCTCGCTGGCGACTGATGGTAGGTTGTGGGAGCGGTGGATGCGGGGCCACCGCGGCGACCCGCCGAGCATCGCGGAGGAGGAACACGCCAGGGACTACAAGAAGCAGTACTTTGGTGCCATGGTGTTGGAGGAGGAGGAGGTGGAGGACGCCCTGATGCACATCATGGCGCACATGAATCGTTCGCAGCAGACCTTTCAGGAGCTTGAGGACGACCAGGTCTACGGCGGCGCCCACCGACCCACGGAACCGCTACGGCAGGCGGAGCACCACCCGGAGAAGGAGCACGCCGCCAAGGCGCAGGCTGGGGCCACCTGGACGCTCGGGTTTGTCTGCGGCGACCTTTTTTACAACAACGAAGGAGGTCGAGGTGATGCGCACGGAGCTCGGGCACGTGTTTCGCAACATGACGTGGCAGGAGCTTGAGTACAGGCGGCAGGTGCGGGTGAACAGACGACAACACCCGGTGCGCAAGCAGACGGAGGGAACCACGGACCCGAACGCGCCCGATGGCGAGCCCTTCGTCCACTAGTGGGAGCGCACCGACCTTGGCATCCCGTACCACGATGCCGTCCCGGACCTCTCCACGCCGGAGCTGGAGCGCCTGCGGGTGAAGGTGGACCAGATCGAGGACGAACGACTCGCGATAAGAAAGGAACTCGGCCTGACCGACCTCGGCGACATCCGCGAGGGATGCGACCCCATTGACAAGGCCGGCAGACGTGAGCCCTTTCAATCCCCACCCGTCTCCTCCCGCTGTCGGCCAAAGTGCTGGGAGGAGATGTGGGGTACGGGCGCCGGCAACAAGTGGTAGCCTCGCAACTGTACACTAGCAGCTCTCTGTGAGTGGAGGGCAAAAGGGAAGGGAAACGAAAACGGAAAAAAAAAGCTGAAATAACGCAAACAAACAAAACTACCCACTGTACCTGTCTCTTTCTGTGTGGCGGTGCGGGCCATAAGAATGACCTTACTCCGATTGCTTCCTGCCACGTTGCGTTTGCCCTTTCATGCATCCTAGTTAGCTTCATTAACGTCCTTTGGTTGTCTTCCCCCCCCCCCCCCTCCCTCCTCTTGTTCTCTCTCTTGTGGTGCACGCGAAAGTTGTCTGACACTTCCCACCCCCCGTGTGTGAGTGGAGCGCCGACGGCATCAGCGACGGCGTCGCATATGGACCTCCTCCGGCGCTACTCCCTGGAGTACCTACACGACGAGGACTTTGGTTTCTACTTCTGCGCCGTAGTGCTCCCGGCGACGCTGCTGCTGCTTGGTGCGTGCGCGTGGATGCACGACTCCTTCCGACGCTTTCAGCAGTACGGGGAGGACGCGCGGTGGGAGGCGAGGCGCGCGGCAAGAGCGAATCAAAACCAAAATAGCGGCGGACGTAACGGCAAGAAAGAAACTGGCTACACAATCAGCAGCAGCAGCAGCAGCGAATCTTGTAGCGAGGAGGGGGAGGAGTGAGAGGGACGCCGTAAAATAATATTGGAGGCCTTTCAAGGGCAAGTGGATGCCTTTGGCAAAAAGAGAGGAACTACAGTAACCGTCAGCCGACGTGTTGCAGTGACCTCCTTCCCGGCCTCTGCATAACTTTATTGACTTGCTCGTTGGCTGCGTGGAAATAAATGCTCTCCTGTGGGCTCGCCTTGAAACTCACTCCTCGTGCTCCATGGTGTGCGGACACCTCTCTGCGTTGTTGGATGTGACGCTATCGTCAGCGCTGCAGTCAATGACGCCGCCGTCACTATCTTGTTCCCCCCCCCTCACCTCCTGTTGTGTTTCTGTGGAATCGTGGTAATTTGTGGGTTCTCTGCGTCATAACTCCCGCCGTCACTTGAGCTTTTCTGGAACCGCCAACTTTGACTCTCTTGCTTGCTTTCTGAGCCATTTATATGACTATGTATGCATCTGCGCGTGCATGTGTCACCACCTCGCTGCCTCTCTGAATGTCTTTCTCTGCCGAAGCCTTAGACGATTCCACCAGCGCCACAGGACTCCAAGCAAATGCGCGAGGCACCACGCATCCATCGCCGCTCCTACCACCACCACCACTGTCTCTTTCTCCCTTTCGTTTCGTTGCTGCTGCTGTTGTGGCTGGCGCCCGCGCGGGCGTCGTCGTCGTTGTCATCATCAAATTTTTACGCGTCATCTGCAGCCCAGGAGAGCGCCAGCGGCCACAACGATGACAGCCACAACAGCATCAGCAGCAGCAGCGGCGGCAGTACAGAGAGCGAGAGCGGCAGCAGCAGCAGCAGCGGCAGCAGCAGCAGCAGCAGCGGCAGCAGCGGCAGCAGCAGCAGCGGCGGCAGCAGCAGCAGTAGCAGCAGCAGCAGCAGTACGGAGAGCGAGAGCGGAAGCAGCGGCAGCAGTGGCAGCAGCAG